TTCAATGTCAGCTACAGCATTGCTGTGCTGATCTTATAATGTATGAAAACACAAGACACATAATAGAAATTAGAATGAAGAAGAAAACAACTGAAAGCCAGATGAAAGACAAGCAAATTTAACGTCACATTTAATTGGGAAAGTTTCAAGCTTCTTTTTAAAATAATTTCAATAAAGCTGAAATACGGACTTTTTTATTTTACAAAGAAATGCTTAAGGAAAGAAACCAGCATTTAGTGACAATAACACTATATATGAAAGGACAAAGGAACAGAAAGTGGATATTAAATTTCCCATTGGATTTCAAGACAGGATAATTATTCCTGCTTTGCTAGTAGAGAGACGGAAATCAGCTTGTAAGAGAGCTCTGCAGGGATATTCACCCTCATTTTGACCTCCTGGAAACTGGTCCAGGTTTCTGTGTTGCTAAGAAGACTGCAAATTCTCTTGAACCTGAAGAATCAGGAGAACATAGGAAGCCGGCTTTTATGGAATCAGGCGGAATCAGATCCTAATCTACCTGGCAATGCCAGAAAAGAGCTTATTGGATGAGGGAAGGCAGGGAGTGAGAAGGGAGAATCATTTTGTTTCTCAAAGAGGGAGGTTTGGTTTTTTTAGAGTAGGCAGTAAAAGAGAAATACCTTGTATCTGTGAAGAAAGATCTGGTGTGGGAAAGTTGACATGTATTATTAATGGAACCATCAAGCTCATGTCTGTGCAGTTCAGTTTGTTATTTTTCAATAAATATCTTATTTTTATGCTTCAACTTTAAAAACCACTTCAGCTTTTATGATTTGGGCTTAAGGCAAGCCTCACAAAAGGAAAGGGCAGTTTAAAAGTAGTTGGGCTGGTCACAGATGCTCACCCTGATTTTAACCTACAGGAAATTGGTGAAGGTTTCTGTGTTGCTAAGAAGACTGCAAATTGTCTTGAACCTGAAGAAACAGGGGAACATAGGAAGCTGCCTTTCGTGGAATCAGACCCTTGACCCATCTTGCTCGGTACTTTTCATATTGCCCATTGTCCTCACCAGAGAGAAAGCCGGCACCTGAAAGGTAGAGAAAGATTGGTGGGGAAAGATTGAGCAAGGAAGGAGGAATGACGGAAGGGCCACCAATCAGAGAAGGGTATTAAATGGTGGGCAGAGAAGGTGAGGTGGAGATAGAGGAGGTGATCCAGGAGGGCGAGAAGTGGGAAGAAGCAGTAGAGGAAAAAGAGGAAAAAGAAGAAGGAAAATCTTCTTACAGAGGAGCTGCTGCCAGGTTGGGGGTTGATCTGCTGGAAGAACCCCATGAGATGGTCCACATGAAACTCTCTCTGGAGAAAACAGAAGTCAAAGGACCAAGCCCTCACCCAAGCCATCTTATTGGGGAGACAGGAAGAGGAAGGAGTTAAGAGAGAGGGGAGTATCACTGTACAGTTAGCCGAGCCAGAGGGTACAGCATGGACTGTTCTAGTCTATCCCAAGAAAAGTGATCCCTGGAAAAAGGAGGAACCCCCAAAGAGAAGATGTTTCTCTGGTGTCAAACCCATCATAGGGGAGTGGGCCAGACCCTCCCCCTGTTGCGGAACTCTGTATGCAAGCTGGCGTACACCCCTACACAAACCTACAGACCATTTGGTGCAACCCCCCACGACTAGTAGAGGCCACTGACAAACAGTGGCTAAGTTTACCACAGTCTGTCGGTGAAGAAGAACCAACAGAGGTGGTTGTTGATGATGCAGTTATGGGTGAATAAAAGTTTGTCACCTGTACCTTTCGACTTAATTGTTTATTAAGAAAGAGAAGGGGGAACTACCGGGTGTAAAACAAGAACCCACTCTAAGTGGTAGTAGCCTTTGCCCATTGCTTCCATGGGTGCCTGTGACTGTGTCTGTGGTTTGTTTTTGATTATATTCTTTAATGACACTCCTGTGACCAAGGACAGCCTTTCTCTCTTCTTCTCCCGGAGGATGGACTAGGGAAGTGTAGGGGGCTGTCTTTCTTCTTCTTCCTTCTTGATTTTTTTCTTTAATGCAATAATATTTTGTGTGTTTACCGTAGGTAACTTTTTTTGTGTTTTCAAGCATGTTGTGAGCTGCCTTGAAACTGAGGGCAAGGCAGGACGGGAATTGAATAAATAAAATGCCTTGTGGTTATTTTGTTTATCTTTCTCTCTTTTGCTCTTGAGCTCGATGGTGCAATCCAATACCAGTGTTGATATTATGGGTATCTTGATATGGTTAACTGACCACATGAGTATGTGTTATCCTTATTTAAACTTCTAAAATGGTTTAAGTGAATTGTAATTGAGTTAATGTTATGATGCAGGAGAAATGTAATTATGGTTATTGCATTTATTAGATTTTTGCGAGCTGTGCCGCAATGACTAAACCGTGCTGATTCTCAAACACAGAGTGATTTAAATTTTGTATTATCTAAGATAGCATACGAAAAGGAAAACTGGGCGGTCCAACTCAGTTAGTTTCCTCCACATTAACAGCTGCACTGGAGCCTGTTTGTTCTTTCAACACCACAGCAAAAACGAAGAAGGACAGGCAGAAATAATGTTCAGTTCTCTTCTGCCAAGACGCTGGTAAGTTCTCAGAGACTCAAAATGACAATAGCCCAGAGTGTTTTCAAAATAAATTATTTCAGCCTGAACTTAATTACAGCAAATTAAGCCTGAAATCCTGTAATAACTTACTTGGGAGTAAGCTTTATGTAAATCAATGGCAAAATTCCTTTTGCATAATTATAAGAATAGAATAGAAAGGATGTAACTAACCATGGCAAATGGCTGGTAATTAAGGAACCGCCCTATGTATATCCAGTTGTGCATGAAGACACCCCCCCCCAATGCTTAACAAGGAATCAAAGTGGGGACTCATTAATTAGCAGCAATTTGCTGCTTTAAGTTATAGTACTTCCCTTCCACTGAAATAAATACAGAATAGAATTTTAGGTAAAGAGTATAAAATCGATCTTTCAATTTGGGGCACAAGCTAACAGCCTGAAATACTGCACCATAAAAGCAAACAGCTGATAAACTCACAGATAATTGTTTCCAAATTTTCATTTTCTTGTACTGAAATACAAAATGTCAAACAATTTATTATATCGCTTGGCTTCCACAGTTGCTATTCTGTAGCCTCATTTAAACTCGCCCAGGTTCATGCTTATGTAGCAAGTGGCTAAAATCGTGAACTAAGAGTCAGAAAGCTCCTGGCTGAAAATCTTGTCACAACCTTCAATTCAGTTATATGAGCTTAGGCAAGACATGTGTCTAAAACAATAACCCAGGCCTACTGTCTGGGGTTGTTCTAAGCATTACCAATGTAACATGCACGGAACAGCTCAAACTCTGGGGGGAAATTCCATTTGCACAGTCCAGGTAGGATTTTTGCAATCCAAAAACAAATGTTTCTCATCTTTGCCCTTGTTATTGTTGTTAACTAAAACTACGTTTTCTGAAGACTGTTATTATTAAACATATTTGTATCGCAAAGCTAGAGCTTCACTCGAAATTATATCAGTCCAGTTCACAGGTCATAGTAATTCAAAATTTCTATACCGTTTCCCCCAAAAAAAGGCCTAACCGGAAAAAAAGCCCTAGTAGGATTTTTCAGGATGTTCGTAATATAAGCCCTACCCCAAAAATAAGCCCTAGTTAAGTGAAACCTCGCCCTCCACCCTTGTGCAGCAACCAGAAGAAGATAACATGGCTGTATTTGAATAAATCTAGATTGTTGTACATGAAAAAATAAAATAAAACATCCCCTGAAAATAAGCCCTAATGTGTTTTGGAGCAAAAATTATTATAATATATTCTTAGTATAATTTTTTGGTTTTTTTCCATGTTGAGCATTACTAACATTATTGTTTTGAATTGTTTTAACTGTTTTAGTTTATAATGTTTAATGGGACCTGCCCTGAGTAGACTCTGTCTAGAAATCTAATAAACAAATAAAAATAAATAAGACCCCGTTTTATTTTCGGGGTAACACGGTACATCTCGGTTTGTCATAAGTGACCAAATGTGCTAGCCCAAGCTGCTTGCTCACTTACCATCCCTTTCTTTTCATAGCACCCTAGAACTCTGCCTTTTTCCTCAGGATTACACAGGTTGGCTCTTCTCCAAAGAGGCAGAGTGGGGAACTGAACTCCCAACTTCTGGCTCTGCGGCCAGATGCCTAATTCACTGAGCTAACAAGCTTTAATTTACAGCATTAACTACTTGTACCTTGTGCCCAGAGAAGAAGAGATGTGCTGTCATGGTAGTTTGCCTCATCCCAGTTAACTCTGGTCTCATTTCTTCCCTGCTCCTCCTAGCATTTTCTCATTGTCAATCTTTTCAAATCAGGAACAGGAAAATTAGACTCGGCTCACTTGCATTTCGCATTTTCATGGAGACTAATGTTTACAAATCCTGGGTAACCCAGGTAACTCACAATTCGCCACAGTACTGGAGGTTTCGGAACCTACCCCGAAAGAACCAAAAGCCGACAAATCAAACTTTCACGTAATGCATCTGTGGAGACAGTTTCAAGGCCCTGAGATGTGCTGGGTGAGGACAGTTTAGTGGACCTCTCCTTGCGTCCTTTTTGGGGAGAAACATGGGGTAACACTTTAAATAATTAAAAAATTTTTACAGGTTGTTAAGAGAGTGTACAAAATCTACTGTGTGGCCAAAGTAAGACCAAAAGCCCTTCGAAACTGCTAAATAATTTCTAATGCTCATGTTACCAACAAGACACCTTCCCTAATACTAACATACAGAATTATATTACCTAGAGATATTGAGTTGTGGTGCAATCAGTGAAATTTCTCTCTCTCTCTCTCTCTCTCTCTCTCTCTCTCTCTCTCTCTCTCTCTCTCTCTCTCTCTCTCTCTCTCTCTCTCTCTCTCTCTCTCTCTCTCTCTCTCTCTCTCTCTCTCTCTCTCTCTCTCTCTCTCTCTCTCTCTCTCTCACACACACACACACACACAGAGAGAGAGAGAGAGAGAGAATAATGCTTACCTCTAGCAGAAGGTTCTTCTTTCCATTAAAAACTTCCAAACCAGAGGACTTTGGTGATGAAGACTTGGTATATCAGACAGAGTGGCTCAGATCATGAGTGGACACATGTCAACTGCTGAAAGAAAACAAAAGGATAAAGTAAATTAGGAAAATGACGAAATTAATCCCACTGACCACCTATTTGTGAACTCCATGGAAAATCTTTACACGGGAACTTCTACCAAGAAGCTCATGGGGTGACCGTGGACCAATCATGCATTCTTTCAGCCTCATCACACCTCACAGAGTTGTTATGAAGAGAATATGAAGAAGAGGATGGGGACGGCCATATATACCACTCTGAGCTCACTGGAGGAAAAGGCAAGATAGAAATAAACAAATAAAAGAAAAAAAGGGCTATAAAACACTACTTTTCCAAGCTGCAATTTATTTGTGAAGAGTTGTTTCCAAGTTCCAGCATTGCTGTACTGCACTCAGCAACCAGAATGGGTCTCTATAGGTAAAGGGGGAGGAGAGATAAAGAGATCCCTAATTCTCCCCCATCTTGTCACAATGATTAGGTGGAAATCAGTATTGTATCTGCAACCGGCGCACAGAGGCAACACCAAGGTAATGTTCAGCCTTCTGTAAAGATTCATTTCTTTCCTCCAGTAGAAGACAAATTTTCTAGCACATCACAGGAGTTTCCAGCATCTTATTATATGCTACTGAAGTATTATGATCTCTTTCCCCTGATTCCGTATTTCAAGGGTAAAAAGCTTTTAGTTATATGCAAGCCAATTCCGGGAGTATTAGAAGAGCACATGAAATTACTGTCCTTCAGATGGTGGATAGGTATTTTTCCCCCTGCCAAATTACAGACCTAAATCAAAATTGACCCACCATTAGCAAAACATCGCTTTTACAGTAAGTGCAGCTTTGAGAGTTTCCCCTGCTTTCCAACTGCATTTTGAAAAATGAAAATCATCTCCGCATTCTGCCAGAATGGCAGGAGGTTAAAAAAAAGGCTATTTCAGTGAGGCTTCAGCGATCCTCAGCATCTCAAATACGCTTCATAGAGGTTGTAGTACCCTCTAGGCCAGGGTGCAAGGGCAAAAGAAGAAAAATGCACACTCCTCATGACATGTAATTACTGCACACATTCCACTAAGATTCATATTACAGTTCAGATCACACAGCCCTTTTATTCATCTACATAACATCCTTTGTAAGGCATCCTACAAGCTATACATGGCCTATTAAGACCTCACTGCTCCCCCCCAACCTGCCCCAAAGATGGCCTAAAATGGATACTCATAACCCCCGAAGATTCTCAGGGAGTGACTGCCTATTTTAACACTATTTTGGGAAGGAGAACTATGCATCTTTTACTATTAATTTATTGTATTGATCTATTTTCCTCTTGCAAGCTCAGGGCAGCATATACGGTTCTCTTCTTCTCTAATTTATCTTCACAACAGGCCTGTGAGATAGATCAGAGAATGTGACTAGCCCAAAATCACCCAACGTGTCCCACTGCTGACTGGGGATTTGAACCCAGATCGTTTGAGCCCTACTCCAACATTCTGAACAGGACTTCAGTTTTTTATTTCAAAGCCAGAAAGGAAGAAGAGACCTTTGCATAACAGCAATGAAGGAATTAGAAAAGATCATCAAGGATATATACTGAAGAACAATGCTATTATAATCCACATTCCTGTATTTCACGATTATTACGTAAAGGTGTGAGAGCTCTACAGGGAGGAAAGCTGAAAGTGGGGGGGGGATTCATTCACTTGAAATATGGTGCTGGGGGAGAACCTTGCAGATGTCCTGGATTGACAGAAGGACAAACAACTGGTTTTTAGAGCAAATCCAGCTAGACAATGCAGCCTGGAGAAAAAAATGACAAAACTGAGGCTGTCCTACTTTGGGCAGGAGCCTCTGAAAAAGACAATACAGTGGTGCCTCGCATAACGAGCACACCGTTTAACGACGAATCCGCATAGCGACACATTTTTTGCGATCGCTAATGCAATTGCATTGCGATGTTTTAGGTGGCAAAACATCGCATTGCGATGATCGGTAAGCGTTTCGCTTACCGATCTTCGCACTGCGATGTTCTAAAAGCAGCTGATCGGCAGTTCCAAAATGGCTGCTGGGTGCAGAAAATGGCCACCCGCAGCATTTTCGCACCCTGCCCTCGCTTACCGAGGTGGCGAAAATGGCGGCCGGATGGGGAATCTTCACTTACTGGTGAGTTTGGGCCCCATAGGAACGCATTAAATGGAGTTTAAAGCATTCCTATGGGGTTTTTCTTTCTGTTTAGCGATGTTTCCGGATAGCGACGTTAATCCTGGAACGGATTAATGTCGCTATGCGGGGCACTACTGTAATGCTAGGAAAATCAGACAGCAGCAGGGGAAAAAAGGATGACCAAATACAAGATTGACTGACTCTCTAAAGGAAGCCACAGGTTTGAGTTTACTAGAGCTGAGGAGGGCTGTTGAAGACAGGACATTTCGGAGATCACTTATTCATAGACACAACTTTACAGCATATAATATTACAGGATGGCTGACGCGAGGTATCAAGGCAAAATACGAACAAAGCCACTCAATAGCTAATCCTACAGTCTTGCCTATTATATTATTTATTCATATTTCTAATTACACATTTACCACAACCTTTCTCCCAGGAGATCTACATTTTAAAAGGAAATCATTGTGTTACTCATCAACCAGGTTGTCATTATGATTTCTCCAACTGTCTATTCGATTTACTGCACTTTTGTGTTACTGACGCATTGTGTTGTGGTTATAAGAGGTCCAAAAAACTCTAAGGAATGCATCTTATTCTTTCCAGTAGCTACCTCTGGCACCGCACCTTTGAAATATTTATATAAATATAAATGACAACTTAGGAATATTTATAAAAACACCCAATGAAAAATCAAAGAATACCTGCTTTGCTGCTTAGAACTGATATGAAACAGGCATAAATCTAAAAAAACTCCTGTCAAAGATGCTCTAAAAATACCTTGAATTTTTTTCTAAAAGTAACTTCTGAAACTAACTAGGTGTCACCTGTTCTGACTAAGTAACTTAATGTAGGTTTTATTTGAAACCTGCATTACCTGAAAACTTTACAATAGCTCAGTGGTTTAGGTATCCGGTTGTGCAGGCAGAGGTGGGAGTTCAATTCCTCACTGTCCCTTCTTCATAGAGATAAGCACACACTGTGGTTCAGCGCATTTTTGGCAGATCGGGCCCACAGGTGTTGTATGCACATGCACCTCTGTGGATACACACATAAACCCAGAGCATGTTGTTCTCATGTATGAAGTTTCCTGGTGCTTAAGAACGACAATAAAAACAACCAAAATACATTCAAGATTTTCTCTTCAGGGGTGCACTCAATGCCTGTTTTTCCCGGAAGCACCAGTTGTTACACCTCTGCTTGCGAGAGTTTAGTAGAGCAACTAGAAATGAACAACCTTTCAAAACGCCTTGTTTGAGGCAGGTAAGATCCTATCTGTTTGAAATTGGCCCAATCCTAATTTTAAGCTACAAATTAGTGGCTAGGAGCTCCCCTTTAAGAAAAGAAGCCCATGCTGCATCTTCAACAAAAAGAGGGGAGAGAACAAGCTAATGCTCACTGATTCCCATCCTCCATCCAGCAGAATTATGTAAAAGGATTTCTATATTATTTATTTATTTATTTACTTATTTATTTACTTATTTATGTATATATTTATTTATTTATTTATACCCCGCCCTCTAGACCATGTCTACTGGCTATAGGGCTGTAGACATCCATTCATTGGCTGAGAATCACTAGCAGGGAGTTTTTTGATAATTAAATACATCCTCCTTCAGTCCCAGAGATCCCATGACTTCCATGCAATGAGTAAAAAACAACAACGAAGAATTGATGCTTTTGAATTGTGGTGCTGGAGGAGGCTCTTGAGAGTCCCCTGGACTGCAAGGAGAACAAACCTATCCATTCTGAAGGAAATCAACCCTGAGTGCTCACTGGAAGGACAGATCCTGAAGATGAGGCTCCAGTACTTGGGCCATCTCATGAAAAGAGAAGACTCCATGGAAAAGATGCTGATGTTGGGAAAGTGTGAAGGCAAGAGGAGAAGGGGACGACCGAGGATGAGATAGTTGGACACGGTAATTGTTTTTGCCAATACACTGAGACATAACAAAGCTACCTCTTCGGTCCTTGTCTGCAGAGCCTGGAAAGAAAGTGTGGTGGGTGAACTGCCAGTCCCAGTATCCTGACAGTTCTCCTTAAAAGAAGAAACTTTTACAAGCTCTGCCTGCCTCCTCCTAGATCCACCATTAGCCCCTTATCCTACTCATCATTTCTGGCCCTTACCTTCAAGGCATGCACCATACCACCCTGAATGTGCCTAATCCTGTCTAATTTGGGAGGCTAAGTGAGGTTGGGATAAATGCCTGGATAGGACACCATCAGGAAGGTGTCCAGGGAGGGCTAGAAAAAAAATACTGTCTGAAATGCTGGAGCATTGCTAGAATTGATAATACTGGGCATGTTGAATCAATGGTCTGATTTACTGTAAGGCCGTTTCCTGAGGTGTTATGTTCCTACTGCTGCTCATGAGTCCCCAAATTGCAAACCCCATCACTCGCCACAGTTCAGTGTTCCTTCTGCTCCCCTAAAACACTCTATCTTTTTCCCTCGCATGGTGATGCTTGGGACTGTATCCCACCACACCTGCGTGATGCCATTCTCCCATAAAAGCCTCAGATCCCTTTTAAGTTATCTGTGAAGCCTTTAGGGAACACCCAGAGAGTCCCTAGGCTCAGAGCATGGAAACACGGACCGTGCTGACTCAGAGGAAATCTGGAAGGTGTATCCCCCAACCCCCAAAAATAATGATAAAAGTAATAAAATCCAATGAAATAGCCTTGTTAGTCTGTCTTGACATGCTGGCAAAGGTTAATGGGGAAAAGAAAATTAAAAGAAAGGGAAAACACTGTTGGGTTTATTTTGCCTGAAGAAGGGGCTTTTGAGCCAGGAAAGCACACACTGAAATAAACGTACTAAATCACTTCAAAATGATTTAGTACGTTGCTTTTTTCTTTTCTTTTTCCTTCACTTTAGCTAACATGTGGTCCAAATATCTTATACAGTGGTGCCTCGCTTAACGAGGGTACAGTGGTGCCTTACTTAATGACGATAATCCATTCCAGGAAAATCGCGGTTAAGCGAAAACATCGTAAAGCAAAATAAAAAACCCCCACTTCAACCCTGTTCAATGCGTTTCAATGGGGTAAAAACTCACCGTCCAGTGAAGATCCTCCATACGGTGGCCATTTTCGCTGCCTGTATAGCGAAGAATCCGTCCCTAAGCACACCCTGTTCAATGCATTTCAATGGGGTAAAAACTCACCGTCCAGCAAAGATCCTCCATATGGTGGCCATTTTCGCTGCCTGTATAGCGAAGAATCCATCCCTAAACACAGCGGGGAGTCATTTTAATTACCCGGTGGCCATTTTGAAACTGCTGATCAGCTGTTTTAAAAACGTCGTAATGCAGGGAACCGATCGTCGCAAAGCGGATTTTGCCTATTAAAACATCTTTTCTGATCACAAAAGCGGTTGCAAAACAGTCATTGTATAGCAGTTTCGTCGTTTAACGAGGCAATCGTTAAGCGAGGCACCACTGTACAACCTTCTCCTGAAGCCCTCCCTAGTTCTCACACACCTTGTGTTCCCATGCTTCTGTAATGCTAAATAAGCCTCCTGAAGCGCTCCCTAGTTCTCACACACCTTGCGTTCCCATGCTTCTGTAATGCTAAATAAGCCAACTATGTAAAACTGAAGCTGTGCCTCCACTCCCCTTGCAGTTTCCCAAAACTGAGTTTTAGACTGGAAGCTCCTTGGGGCAGGCATCTGTTCTCTTGTATCTCGGAGTCTGGTGGCGCTACAGAAACAAACAACGTTCACCAAGACTAATTCCTCTCCCAACCCATCTTCATCTCAGGCCTCTGTGGCGATCTTAGCTGCCAATGTTCTCTGCCTCCAGCACCCGCTATCTCTGTAGGCACTGAAATCCCTCCTCGGTGATTAGGATGCTAAGTCAGGGAATATTAATTTAGTTATCTTCACTTCAGCAGAGGATACTGTGATTTAATTTTTGCCACTTGAACTAGGCTATCCTTTTCGTCACAGATTTCTCCCCTCACTTTTCCCACTCAGCACCATCGCAAGGCAGGAAACACAGGGTTATATGATGGCCAAGGATTATTGCTTTCTAACAGACAAACTAGTCTCCTCTTCTTTATGAGAAGAATATCTGAGCCACAGGAACGGTAAATGCACAGTTTCTACAGAAATACCACTTTGGAAGGAAAAGAACAGTGAGGCGTCAAGTGGTCCTGAGGGAACCTTTGTACGAGTGAGAATATTGCTCTCTTGGAGGCTTCAGCCCTTCTACCGAAGGCTCCCAGCTGCGATGTTCAGAAATTGGTAGAAGTAGAGACTTTAGTCAGAATATCCGTGCTGGCAAGGGCGGACCTCTGTAAATCAGAAAGGACAATTTTGAGGGAAGTTAGGGCCAAATTAAAACCACAGAACTCCTTGAGTCAAGACGTGTCATCGTTTTCCTGAAAACACTGGGGAGACAGTTGAAAAACACACACACACGCATTTAAAAACACACCAATTTTTCTTAGCTATGCTGTATAAGATCCATCCGTCATATATACTTGGCCATCAAGATCCCATTTTAAGGGTTGCTGAAGAAGAAAGGGAAAAACAATTTGCTGTTTTCTATTGATCCACGCCAAGATTATTAAATGTAACTGCAAAACATTGTACAACATCCAGTATGCAATGCCACTTGATCATAGGTTTAGCTTGATGCTTCTCTCCTTAAATCAACAACAGCTGTCAAGATTCCTTTCAAAAAAGGGGGCACTTATCTTAATAGTGCATTTATTTGCTCAAGTTCAGTCACACCTGGGGGGGAAAAGGCAAGAAAGAAAAAAAGTTCTCACCCCACTGCACTTGACAAAATGTGTTTAAATCACTTATGAGCGACAGCAGTAAAGGGCACCGTGAAGGGAAGCACACAGCATGATTCACAAAGTATTCATTTTTATGAGACAGAAAAATTACCGAAAATGTTTAAAAGGCAAAGAAATAATATTTCACTGGGAATGTATCTGGAATCTTGGTTGCTTGTAATAAATACCTGACTGCTCTTCCCAGCTACTCCTGCCTAAAACATTTGGAGAACAGCTCAACAAATATGGTCATTTCCCAAAGTGTCACTAACCAAAGCATGGATAGGTTCCAGCTATCATTGTCAGGATTTGTTCCTTTAAGTGAACAAGGGGTTGAATTTAATATTGTAGTAGAGAATGCAAAGTCATTCCTGTAATGTCAAGCCAATGGATGACTGATAGATAGCATATAGGGGGGACAAGCTTTGGTAATGCTTGTTAAACATGTTCAGCTGCCATGTGTGCAGTGATAGGCGCTCTCAGTATATAAGCAAGTGTATGAGAGTACCATTTTGCCACTCAGTTGTGAGTCTGTGGTGATTTGCTTTACTTGAATACAGTGGTGCCCCGCATAGCGACGTTAATCCGTTCCAGGAAAAACGTCACTATTCGGAAACATCGCTATATGGAAAGAAAACCCCCATAGGAACACATTAAACTCTGTTTAATTTTTCCCCATAGGGCACATCGCAATGCGATCGCTTTTGCGATCACAAAATCCGCATTGCTATGCGGATTCGTCGTTAAACGGGGCGCCCGTTAAGCGAGGCACCACTGTATGTATGTTGCTCTGAGATATCTATGCCAATGTATATCTTGCCATGTATTTATGTCTAACCAAGTCTAATATAAGTTGTATCAGAACTCTTTCCATGCATTTTCTTACATCTGTGCTCTGCTAATGAAGAGGAGGATTTGAAGCAGTTAGATAAGAGACTGCGTAACTTGTTGTCTTTAGTGCCAAGGTTTGTTTTTCCCAAACAAAGTGCTCTTACAAGCTTCATATCCAATTTGACTCCAAGCTTTTGGAGAGGCAATAGCCATATAAAGCCTTCGGAGTTGGCCCCACGCCAACCATTATACTTGGGCTTAAAGAGCTAGGATATGAATGACCCTTAGTAATTGCATGCCATCAAGTCAATTCACACTGAAGGTTACCTTTTCCAGAGTTTCTAGCCAGAAAGTCATTGACTATTTGCTTCTTCTGGGGGTGTCCTGGGTTACACCGATTGCCTCTACTCCCAGGAAGGCACAGTGAGGAACTGAACTCCCAACCTCTAACTCACTGAGGTACAAAGTCAGTGAATGAGCCCTAAAAAGTAAAGGTAAAGGTTCCCCTTGACATTTTTGTCTAGTCGTGTCCGACTCATCCCCGTCTCCAAGCCATAGAGCAAGCGTTTGTCCGCAGACAATCCTCCGTGGTCACGTGGCCAGTGTGACTAGACACAGAACATCTACCTTCCCACCGAGGTGGTACCTATTTATCTACTCGCATTTTTGCATGCTTTCAAACTGCTAGGTTGGCGGGAGCTGGGACAAGCGATGGGGGCTCACTCCGTCGTGTGGATTCGATCTTACGACTGCTGGTCTTCTGACCTTGCAGCACAGAGGCTTCAGTGGTTTAACCCGCAGCGTCACCACATCCAGGTTTATAAATAGCTATATTTGTAACACAATCAGGTTTACAAATAGCTATATATTACAGTCGGATGCCACTGGCCATGTTAGTTAGGTGGATTTGGGCATTTCAATCCCACCCGTTAACTCTTCCTACTTTATCTGTGCCCCATATAAATGCAGTCTGCTGTGCAGGTGCCACTGGATCAGTGTCTGGACAGTTACTTTGCACAGAGAAAAGTATCGTGTTCAAATCTGATCATTGCCAATTAAATAGTTCAGGTGCAGGCAGTGAGAAAGACTTCTGCCAAGGCTCTGTAGAGCACATGCCTGTCAGAGGAAACTCTGCTGGACTAGATTAGTAAATATTCTTACCAAGTACAAAGAGAAGTGATTGTATTTTTGTACACCTTCTTCAGATTTCAGGTTGCAAGAACAGACAGGACTCTGCACACTAAATGTCCAACTTTCCAATTGGGACAGAGGGCAAGAAATGTTGCTTTCTGAATGTTCTTATCCGCACGTTCTGTTTCCAGCTACTGGAAGAATTCCAGTACTGTACTTTGACAGATTAAAGCAAATCACGCATGTTTCCCTCTTCAGCAGCCTTAACAATGCAGAACATGGGCTTGCCAACAGACCTCTAATCTGAAGGCCAAATCATATATTAAGAGAAATGCGTACTTTCTGTTATTACCAATATAGCTGTGCAGAACTGGCCTTTTGAAATTCTTCATCTTATTTTTTTGGCCACAGAAAACTAGGGTGAAGACATCACCAAATATCTTCAGGGCAAAGAGCAAATCTCCAACAATTTTTCAGAGGTGGTAGCAGACCTTTGTCCTCCCCTTAGTAACTGTGTCTGCAGCTCAATCAACATTTTCCTTCCTCCGTCATGCCCTCTGTAAGAGCCTCCATGTTGCAGCAAACAGACTAGGACTCAGGAAACGAGTTCAAATCCCTACTTGGCCACGGAAACTCACTGGGAGATAGCAATGGTGAACCACTCCTCGCACCCAAAAACACAGTACCATCTGCACACTCTTCCTGAAACTGAGGTTGCTTAGAGAGACCCCTGTGTGACAACCTTGTGTAAAGCAGAGATACAAACCATAGCCAAGTCCTTGAATCTGTGACTTGAATAAAGGAAAATATGTGTTAACAAGGGGGAAAGCCACACTGAAAGCCTTTCTAGCTCAGCAATGGACAGTGTACAAAGAAACACACTCATAGAGAAGCACTTTCACTGCAGACAACATAGGATTTGTGCAAGAAATTTATCAACCTTGTTTTCTCATTTTCCTTTACAATTTTTCAGGAAAATTGGATCAGCATAGCAGACAAATTAATACTGATTCTGATCTCAGTCAGTTATTAACATTTTGGCGTGGAGAGAAATCTCCTTTAGGCTCTGAACTTGGCAGGACTGTGACCACAGCAGAAACTGACTGTTAATTTTGAAATCACAGAACTACAGAAGATTTTGGCAGAGAAAGAAGGATGCAAGGATTTCGTGCCAAGAACAAAACAAAACAAAAAAAAGGAACTCTATCCCAGATCGTCCAATTTCCCCAACACTGGTGCAATCTCCCAATGCAATTTAATGTAAATTCAGACCAGTGGATACAAATTTTGAGATGCTGTTTACTGGCAATGAGTAAGACTAGACTGAACAATATAATTCAGACAGCCTAAACCTTTCCCCCCACAAAAGGCAGGCCAGAACACAAACCAAAAAGTCATTTTCTGGCAGGTCAGTTGACAGCCAATTATTTAATTTACTGTGATTAAAGAGGAGCAATTTCAAACCATAAAACCATTCTTGGGCTGTACCATTACAAATTGCGGGATGTGAATGAAGTCTGCGTGTTGGAAGGTTTCATCCATGAAAATGCAGCCGTAAGAATATATGAAGACTTCCGCTGGAGCAAAGCAAAAAAAATTGTCTAATCTATCGCCCACAACTAGCCCTAAAAAGAAACGAAAGAGGCCACTCTGGGAGATTTACAGCAATAAAAATAACTATAATAACAGTAACAAGCAAAGGCAACAAAGCAAAAATTAAAGTTAAAAACAAAATTAGCATTGCAATTAAATACATTAAAAGGCATTAAGAGGAAGGTGGCAGTTTAAAAAAAATTAATAGCTGTTAGATACTGTGGTCTCCTCAGTTAAAATGAGTTGGAAAGCCTGCTGGAAAAGCAGAGTTTTTAATGTTTTCTTGAAAATTGTCAGGGAAGGGGCCAGGAGGATTTTAGATGGGAATTCATTTCAGAGCCAAGGAGCAACCGCTAAGAACATTTCTTGTCCTCTCCCTCTTGGCCTGCCCTGAGTCTCTTATGATATCTCACTGTCCTCACACATCTTCAGGATTTTATGTCCCATCACCAGTGTTCAACAAGCCAGCAACAGTGAGCTGCTATATATAAAAAGGAAGGGGAAGACTCCTGTCTTAGGCTTCAGGTAGCAAAATGTCACCTGTTTAAGGTGATCACTATATTTATTTATTTATTCCCTGCACCATCTGGCAGCCAGGCCACTCTGGGCGGCTAACAACAAGATAAACAACACAATCAAACCACAATAAGAAAAAAAATAATACAAACTTTCAACAGATACAATTAAACAACACACTATCAAACCACAATAAGAAAAAAATAATACAAACTTTCAGCAAATACAATAACTAGTAAGGTAAAGGTAAAGGTAAAGGTTCCCCTTGAAAATTTTTGTCCAGTCGTGTTTGACTCTAGGGGGCGGTGCTCATCCCCATTTCCAAGCCATACAGCCAGCATTTTGTCCGAAGACAATCTTCCGTGGTCATGTGGCCAGTGCGACTTAGACACGGAATGCTGTTACCTTCCCACCAAGGTGGTCCCTATTGATCTACTTGCATTTGCATGCTTTCGAACCGCTAGGTTGGCGGGAGCTGGGACAAGCGACGGGCTTTCGACTGCTGGTCTTCTGACCCTGCAGCACAGGCTTCTGCGGTTCAGCCCGCAGTGCCACCATGTCCCGAAAACAGATGACTATAAAGATGGTAGAAAGGATGATGAAAGGATGGCAAAAAGGATGATAAAAGGGAAGCAGAGATATCAGCAACCTAATGCTCAGGGAAAGCCTGACAGAAGAGCCAAGTTTTAAATGCTCGTTTAAACCCAACGAGGGTGCTAGGAGTATCTCCATGGGCAAATAGTTCCACAGGCGGGGGGGTGGGTGACCGCCAAGAAGGCCCAATTTCTTGTTCTTTCCCTCCGGGCCTCCTTCGGGATCAAGGCCTTCAACCGCCCTCCCTGTGAAGAATGAGTATTACAGACAGATCTGGCTGGGAGCAGGTGTTCTGATAGGTACCGAGGTCCTAAACCATTTAGGGCTTTGAATGTTATCATCATAACCTTGAAGTCGATGCGGAAATGAACCGGTAGCCAATGAAGGGCGGCCAGAATGGGGGAGATGTGCTGAAATTTCTTCACCCCAGTTATTAATCTTGCCGCCGAATTCTGTACCAGTTGTAGTCTCCGCATCAGCCTCAAGTGTATTCCCACATAGAGAGCACTGCAGTAGTCTATTCTTGAGATTACCAGTACATGAATCAAAGTCGTGAGCGCCCCTGCGTCTAGATAGGGACACAGCTGGGCAATCCTCTGAAGATGGAAATGGGCTGCCCGGCTCGCAGATGCCACGTGGGTTTCCATGGTGAGATCAGGCTCCAAACAGATGCCCAAGCTGCGAACCTCACTCTTCGTGGAAAGAGTCACTCCCCCAAAGGAAAGGGAGTTTCCCAACCCACCCGCAAATTCCATAAAATCATTCTGTATCACTCACTGAGTGCTTTGCGAAACCAATACTGCTGCCCACCAGATTCCAATGGATGATCTTACATCCTAGTATTATGACTTACTGGAAAGTTTGCAAATGTTACCTTATTTAAACTCCAGTTCGTCAGCAGCCAGTACAGCCATAGGTTCTGGGAGCTGTAGTCCTAGCAGATAACTTTTCCCAGCTTTGACTCAGCTCACATCCCTCTAAATCCTGCATCCACCAAATGTGTTATGCTACACCCCCCATGATCCCTCCTGACCAATGCTCCGAGTGACTAGGAGTCATAACCCATCACATCTATCTGGGAGATGTCAGGTTGGGGATGGTTGATACGACTGCTGAACAGCTCAGGGCTTTAAGCATCTGACTGCGGGGCCAGAGGTTGGGAGTTCAATTCCCCCACTGTGCCCCCTTGACAAGGGCTGGACAGATTGATCTACAGGATCCCTTCCAGATCTGCAAAGGACATCTGGCGGGGACATCTCAGTTTTCCTTGAGGACCTCTGGCAAAGACATAGACGGTGTTTCAAATTCCCTGGTTATTTGAAATGCCTTTCTGCAGCCACTCTCTACATAGAAACAAGAAGCACAGTGACATTTGCTTAGTTTGCTAGACTATGACTCAAAAGACCTGGGTTCAAATCCCTATTTGGCTGTGAAACTTATCGGGTTCTTGGGTCAACCACATCCTCCCAGCGCGACCTACTGCACAAGGTTGGGAAGAAAAGAAAACCATGTACACAATCCAGCATTCAGTGGAGGAAAGATATCTATATAATAAATAAAGACTACATGAAAACTTTTCTTTTTAGCAATTGGTTTTCTAAACTCTGTTTGATGTTTGTTTTTTGCACTATAGGGCAGCATTTAAACCTTACCTATTTGCTACTCCTCTACAGGGCACTCTTGCCTGGAGGTGCCATCACTCGCCATGGGACTGAGCAAGCTAGACAAAAGGCTTTTGTGAACCAGAGGGAGACGACAGACCCACCTGAGGCCTGCTCCATATGGAGTAGACAACTCACAGTAGAATTACCAGAAACCTGGTTGAATTTATCTGGATCACCATTCTCTCTCTCTCTCAGACCGAGGGATTCAACTGTAATTCTCAAGTGCTGCTTGCAGGAGGGAAGCCATTTTGGGAATGTTTGACGGCTTTCATGCATTCATGCTGACAAATCCGTCAGGGAGAGAGGCAAGAGTGAGGAGAAGAGAAAACCGCCTCCTTCCCCCAAGTTCTGTATTATGTGGAAAAGACCTAATTTAAAGGATTTGTGGGAATTACAAAATTAACTGTCAGCCGGAGGGAGGGGGAGGTATCCATTAACACAGCGGTCCCCAACCCTTTTGGAAGCCCATGGACCGGCACCGGGTCATGGACCGGGGGTTGGGGACCCCGACATTAATGGACAAACTGTAGCTTTGCAAGATTTCCTAATTTTCAAGGCTTTTTTAAAAATGCAAGTAACATCAACTAACTAACCGACCAAGGACTGATCAGATTAACTTGGTGAGAGATGTTGGTTGGGGAAGCCAGGTTAATCCTTTCTTGCCTTGCTCTAGTCCTGACAGAACATCAGCCTTTGGGCAGAGGGTAGGCAATGCTGGTAGGATATGGGAGTCAATTTTCTACCCTGGGACACTCCAGTGGCTGCACAGATGATCAAAAATACCCCCCCCCAAAAAAAAGCAAAACATGAAAATGGAACTAGCAGAAGTTTATTTTCAGTTTGTGGTGGGGAAAAGGGGGGAATTTGGTGGTGTTAAAAACAACAAAGAGTTCCAGGAGCTTTATTTCACACACATATTATCCTACTGTCTCTGTGTATGGTTCACGAGCTGCACAGTGGCAGAGAAAAAGGCAATTCAAAGGGTGATTAAGACGGCCCAAAACATCACTGGCTGTTCACTCCTCTCTTTGGAAGAATTGTATAAGAACAGATGTAAGAGGAAGATATCTAACATACTGAAAGACTCCTCTCATCCGGGATATCAGCTCTTTAAACTATTACCATCAGGAAGGAGATTCAGGGTATTGAAAGCAAGGACAAGCAGATTCAAGAACAGTTTTTACCCAAGTGCAGTATTGAGTTTAAATGCGGGGCCATAGGTTTTTGGTGGAATTTTAATTGCTGAGAGAAAACGGGGTATCTATATTTGGATGGTGAAAGTTGTGTATATTTTAACTTTTTTCAGTTTTGGGGGGAAAAGGGGGAATTTGGTGGTGTTAAAAACAACAAAGGGTTCCAGGAGCTTTATTTCACACACTATGATAGAAAAAGGAGGATGGAGGTGCTGAGCATCGTAAGAAAACGTTGGGGAGCCACATGAAGCCTGAGGACTCCAGTTTTCCCAACTGTGATTCATGCTACTGTGTTAATAACAAAGCAGTAACTGTGAGCTGGACCATAAAGAAGGCTGACCACCAAAGAATTAATGCTTTTGAATTGTGGTGCTGGAGGAGACTCTTGAGAGTCCCCTGGACTGCAAGGAGAACAAACCTATCCATTCTAAAGGAAATCAACCCTGAGTGCTCACTGGAAGGACGGATCCTGAAGCTGAGACTACAATACTTTGGCCATCTCATGCGAAGAGAAGACTCCCTGGAAAAGACCCTGATGTTGGGAAAGTGTGAAGGCAAGAGGAGAAGGGGATGACAGAGGACGAGATGGTTGGACAGTGTCATCAAAGCGACCAACATGAATTTGACCCAAGTCCGGGAGGCAGTGGAAGATAAGGGGGCCTGGCGTGCTATGGTCCATGGGGTCACGAAGAGTTGGACACAACTTAACAACTAAATGACAACAAACTATGAATTTGTTGCAATAACTGTTATTAGTATGTAATGAACACTTTGCTTTTTGCTCCAAAAAATTTTTAAAGGAGGAGGAGGAAATAGCCAAAATGGTCCTACTCATCCTCATAACAAAACAAATTTAATGCAATGTGTTAAACATTACTAAAATTTTTTTAAAAAAAATTGGCAAATATTCTACTAGGATGTAGGATCTTTCTTATATGTGTGTCCATCTCCTGTTTTTATTTCAACAACAGCTCTATGGGAGAGGTTTGGCAAAGCAAGGGATTGCAAAGAACTTTCTCATGAATTCTGGAATCACACCAACAAATTTGAACTCAGCTCTCTAACACCCAAGACCAGTATTCTAGCCCACCTGCTAAAATGGATTTTATGGCTATGAAAAATCAAAGCAGCTACATAAGAAGCTATCCCCCTTTTCTCCCACTCCAGCTGTGAGGAACATCATTAGAGCAAGGATGGGACCTTCCCTTCCTTTTAATCATCCCACAATCCTGCTGTGCTGTTCCATTTCACTAAACACCCCCACTAAGGAAGAGATGAAGCTACCACCTCTGCCTGGATTAGCAGGGCACCCATTTGCTTTTACTTAAGGCAGAATATAATTACAACAGAGGCGGAGATCATTGATCAAATCTCTTATTTGTTTCCCTCAATTTTACACATAGAAGCAGTGCAGCGTAAATATAACCTGACTCACTCCTGATGAAATGTACTACTTTTTTTTAAAAAAAAAGGAGAGGCAAAAAAAAAGAGGAAAAGGAGCAGCAAGCAAACGACACCACAGGACTCCTGCCTGGTACAGACAGGGAAGCCAAAATGTCCCTCGCGTAATTGTCTTCTAACAAGAACATCAGGAGGGTTTCGATAAAACCCTGCAGCTCCTTTTCCCCTCTTGTCCTGGCAATAAATGAAAACAAACCCCGACTGGGCTCTGCAGCACAACTGGGGGCCTCTGTTCTCAGTCCATTTTGTTGTTGTTGTTGTTGTTGTTGAGGGCTCTGCAGCACAATTGGGGGCCTCTGTTCTCAGTCCATTTTTTTTTTTTAATCAATTAGGCTGGGTCTACTTTGTAGAGCCACCTTGCTTCAAAACTCTAGACATCACCCCGTTCCAACAAAGGGCCAGATAAGGAGAGAATCTGATGGGCTATGAAGTAGAGACAGGACAAAAACGAGGATTTTATCTGCCTCTTGGGTCCCAAATGCTACCTGACAGGCAAGTGCTTCATCACTCATACGTTCATTAAAATAGGATAACCCAGGTTAGTTTAGGATCTGGAAAAACCAATAGATGCTCCTTGGAGCTTCTTGGAGAACCAGAGATAGACCGGAATTAACAACACTCACTACTTCTCCCAATGCAGGAGCAAAATAGGCCACCATGGTTCGCATTTTGCAGATTGGGAAACTGAGGCTGTCAGGTTTCAGCCAGAAGCTTCTCTTAGTGAACTGCAATTCTGTGTACTGTTGTGGGGGCAATATTTTGATACCTCTCCCAGCTGTTGGCATTCAATGGTTATCATCTGTGGTTGAATTTCCAGAACCATTTGCTTCCTCTTTAGCCCAGATTTTATATCAACTGTAAGAAACTTGAGGTAAGCAAATATATCTCAGGCCAGAGTGCTCCTGGGCCTAAGAATCATGTCATCACAAAGAAATCTCCTACCAGTGCCTGCTATCAAGTTTCTACAGTCGTGCTCCTCCTTCTGACGCCGAGGGAGGCCCGGAAGGAGAAAACAAGAAACCGGGCCTTCTCGGCGGTCGCCCCTCGGCTGTGGAACACACTCCCCACTGAAATTCGGCTGGCACCCTCGCTGGGTGTGTTCAAAACTCAACTAAAAACCTGCTTATTCAAACAGGCCTTCCCCCCAGTCAACTAAGTAATTTTTTCTTTTTCTTTTTTCCTCTCTTGTTTCTTGATTTTTGCCATCTTATATTGTATATGTTACTTATACTGTATGCTGTTTTCATGTGTTTTAACTTATGTAAGCCGCCCCGAGTAGACGTTGTCTAGAGGGGCGGGGTAAAAATTGAATAAATAAATAAAATAAATCTCTTCTTTTCAGTACCTTTTCCAAAAAGTAGGCTACCCATTTACACCTCATACTGCCATTTCCACCATACCATCCTAAACATATCGAATCCAATTCTAACTCATTTTGGAAACTAAGCTTGAGGATTCTGGAGCTGTAGACCAAAGCGGTAACATTTCCTAAGCAAAGCGTAAGAAGGTGTCGCTTATATTTCTGGTCGTGTGTGTCTATAGTAACTCATCAGATAGCCATAGCGGTTTCTTAACTTCTAACATTACATTCTGTTTACTATGGCATGTTTTAAAACACTTCCAATCCTCTGGTATTTCTTCTTCCCTCTCTTCTAGCCCAATCTTAAAATAAAATAAAATAACATAAGCCCACTGAACAAGTGGTTTCGTTTCTGCAGCTTTTTCTTCCCGAGACATGAAAATGCTAATCCCAGGCAACATGAAATATCTTTTCCAGCCAACGTACTCTGAAAAACTTGTGTTAATTTATGGCGGTTTGAAACCCTGCACCCAATATTTTTCAAGGTCTGTTCTCTTCAACATTACTTGTTCCAAACTTTTTCCATGTGCCGCTTTCAGGAACTAATGTGGCTGCATGAAAACGAGAAGGTTCCTCAGCTTTTTAAAATTATCAGCAGGTGCAGCTTAACATACGTACGGCTACCCTACTAGTAACATAGAACAGGCGAGAAAAGTGTTGGATTACAAATCCCAGCTTTCCAAAATATGTTGGATTGCAAATCCCAGCATTCCTCACCCCTGGCTATGCTGACTAGGGTTCATGGGAGTTGCAACCCAACAAGTCACATTTTGCCCATCACTGAACCCTATGGAACTTCCTGCCTCAGTATTTTCCTAATGGGTGCCTTGCAGAAGATGTTAGACTACAGCTGCCATCAGCCCCAGCCAGCATGATCAATGGGTCAGGATGATGGGAATGGTTGTGTACACACCTGGCGGGTGCCAGGTTGTGGAGACAGATCCTAAACTCAAGGAAGAGAAGTGTAGGCAAAGTGCAACACTCCAGAAGATGATGGCCGAGAACGCCCATCACCTCTAGCAGCCATAAGTCAGGGATGAGGAATGCTGAGTATTGCATTCTAACAATATTTATTTATTTATTTATCACTCCAGGTGAGCTGCTGAAAGCACCTCTCTTTCAACAAGCTTTTGGTATTCTGTTGTTGTTGTTGTTGCTGCTGCTGCTGCTTCTAGGTTTTTGGACTGCCTTCTGAGGAAGGTTAGGTTGGCTACCTCAAAAGTCTTTCAGCCAGTGGGCCAAAACATTTACAGTAGGATCTTCCTATCTGTGGGATTACTATCCACTGATTTACTTATCCGTCACCTGAAAATATTAAATAAAAACCTCCAGAAATACATATTTATACAAATTTCTAGAATGTATTTACCAGAACTGTCCACTTGTGGGAGCCCACAAGCACCCAGTGTATAGCATTCATTAATACAGTACTTCCAAATCTTTTGGCATCCACAGGAGGGGGGGTGTTGGTCCTACTGTATATTTAAACAGGATTTTTGGCACAGATTGGTGGATGTAGGTTTGCTGCTAGGGATGATATATTTGAATGGAGAACTTGGTTTAAAGTGTGTACTTGTTTTGATATGTTCTTATAAATAATAATAATCTTAGAACAGCAAAGCTGGAAGGATCATAGAGTTGAGCTTCCGTCAAGCAGGCACGGTGGGGAATTGAACTCCCAACTTCTGGTTCCGCAGCCAGATATCTAAACTACTGAGCTATCCAGCTGTTCATGTATGCAACAGTCTCCAATACTGTAAATTACTGTGCTTTTAAACTGCACCTGATTTTAAGCATATTTACAAGCTACGTTGAGTCTCACAATGAAGAAAAGTACAATATAAGTGAAAAAAGAAAAAATAATATATTAGAAAAATTAATTAATTTAATCAATCAATCATTAATTTTGTCTGTCTGTGCCCTTCCCTTCTGATTCTAATACTAGCTTGATGATTATTTTTAAATGATGAATTATTGTTAAGGAATGCCTTCCCCCATGAGACTCGGCTGCCCCCCTTTCTTTTTGGCAGCACGTGAAAACATTTTTATTTCAATAGGCTTTGGGTGGTTAATATCTGATGTTAAAATAGCTAGTTGTGTTACATCTGCTGCTAATACATTCGTTTAATGTGTTTTTAAATGCTTTTGTATTTCTCAATTTGTTTTATCTGATGGTTTCAACAATCCTGCGTTTAATAATTTTTTAATTTCTGTGCGTATGCTGCATTTAATTCTTGTTCTTTAAATGATTTTTGAGCTCCCTTGAGTCTCACTGTTCGGAGAAAGGTAGCAATAGGAATGCAATAGCTAGATAAAATAATAAATAAATAAAATTATACCTTCTTCCATGAGTTGTCAGCTACTTTGACTCTTTCTAGAGCAGAAATGTAGACAATAAATGTTACAAAAAAGCAGTGATTCTCTTTCTCTCTCTCTCTCTCTTTTGGCCTTAAGAGGTTTTGAACTACAGCACTCTGAACCCTGTGGAACTATGTACAGTGGTGCCTCGCTAGACAGTTACCCCGCATGACAGTTTTTTCGCTAGACATTGACTTTTTGCGATCGCTATAATGATTTGCAAAACAGTGATTCCTATGGGGGAATTTCGCTGGACAACGTTTGGTCCCTGCTTCGCAAAGCGATTTTCGCTAGACGACGATTTGGACAGCTCCCTCTACGCTCGCAAAGAGGTGTTTTTGGGACCTAAGCTTCGCAAGACAGCGATTTAAACAGCTGATCGGTGGTTCGCAAAGCGGCTTTCCTATGGCTGCTCTTCACTAGACAACAATGATTCTTCCCCATTGGAACGCATTAAACAGGTTTCAATGCATTCCAATGGGGAAATGCTTTTTGCTAGACAATGATTGCACTAAACAACGATTTCAGTGGAACGGATTATCATCGTCTAGCGAGGCACCACTGTACTAGCTCAACACATCTAAACAACCAAAAGATGAGAGCCACTAAATTAGATGAGTTACCAACTCCGATCTCTCTAGCATCACCTGAACAGCCACCTCACCTCTCTGGTAGCTTACAGAACTCGTTCCTGTGGCTCAAGTGCCACAGTTTTGAAAAAGAGGTCAGAAATTCAAATCTGATTTACACAAAAGAGTGCTTGCTATCTGTCATTATTTCACCTATAATCCAGCATGCACTCAAACTTCAGTCAAATTCCATTCATTTCAATATCATGTCTCTGCAATGCATTCTGTCTACAGCTAAAATTATAGCTGATGCAAAGTGCTCTCTGGACTCACAACAGTGCTTGGAACATTTTTTAAGCAACTTTGCACTGTTACTTTTATTTAAAGCAGGGGTCTCAAACATGCGGCTCGGGGGCCCTTTGCGGCCTGTCGGACGATAATTTGTGGCCCCTGCCTTGCTTGCCCCCCCTGAAGCGCCCACGCATCCAGCCTCGCCTCGCTCACCGATTGTTTCCCAAGACAGTGCCTTTTGCACCCTCCATCCGGAACTGCAGCCTGCCAGCCAGCCTGCCTGTCTGCTGGCTGGCAGGCTGCAGTTCC